CCCTCCCTTGGGCCTGGTTCCACTCCCCGCCCTCGGCCCCAAGCCCGCCCTTCCCGTTCCCCAGCCGCCGGGCCGGCCCGGACCCGATGCTCCCCCTGCCACGGAGCCCTGGTCCTCCCCCGCATCAGGCCCGGGCCCACTCGTCCCCTTTCCCCACCGCGGGCCCGGCCCTGCGGGGGGTGGAGGAGCGGGGCTTCTCCCCGCCGTGGGTCCCGGTCGTCCCCCTGCTGCTGCTGGTTTCAGCTGGGGCCCCATGCTCCCCTCCCCTCCCCGCTGTGGGTGGGGGGAGCGGGGAATGGGCCCGGACTGCGGGGGGAGGGGGGCACCCCCCCCCTTCTTGACAGGCAGTTGGCTAGTTGAAATATAAAAGGAATGCAAGGGGTTAGGGGAAAGGAAATAAGTTCTCTACCCACCCCTGAGAATGGTCTGTTCTGTGGGGTCTTGTACATGGGTTGACATTGCCACTCAAAAGAGTGGTGCCACCCAAGCAAGAGTCCTATCTGCTTAACAGGGTTTTGCTGCTTTCCAAAAAAGATAGCACTTGCCATAAGGAAGCCTTGCAACGTATCTTTAACTAAGGCATCTGAGCTTGTTTGTTGCATGTCCATGCTATCCTTTAGAAAATGCTGTTTCCCCAAGCCCTGCAGATTGCCACCATTCTTTGCAAGTGCATTTCATTCCTTGCAATAACCTTCCTTCAGCCTAGTTAGCTGGAAGAGCACTAATAATTTAGTCTCTAATTACTCCAGCTGCAGACCACTCTGATTTGCAGGGCTTAGGATCTGTAATGGAGCAGGCCATGGTCTCACCTCACAGCTGGCTCCTCCTATTGAAAATGTGCTTGCTCCTGCCTAGGTCACAGCACTCTTGAGTTTCTGCATGACTTTTGTCAGGCTGGTTGCAGTTCCCTTGGTACTCCTGGCGGGAGGGGGGGATGTGCTGCAGAGCTCCAGTCCTGTTGTGCCTGCCTCAGGGAACAGCATGGAGGGTTTCATCCTCTCTCCCCAAAGCCACTTGCTTCTGGATGAATCTGGAAGTGCTGCAGTCCTCTGCCAAGTCTCCCTCCCACTTCAGAGACTTGGGGGAGAAAGGGCTTTGTGTGGCTCCTTTATTTGCCAAGGGCTTGATTTTCTGTCTGTAAGCAGTAAAAGGAATTAATCCAGGAGAGTCTGATCTTTCCTGATCCCAGCCACCTGACACAAAAGGGAAGGTCCCCTCACCTGACAGGATCAGATACCTTCAGACTTCACAGGCTGTTGGTAGAGGAATCCTATCTCACCCTTGTTATTTCTCAAGCCAGCAAAGGTTGGTACTGGCCAGACAGTAGGGCCCCTGGCACACATTACATGTAAGATGTGATTAACCACGTTAAGGCAATTTGTGGTATGTCAATTCAAAGAATAAGATACCAAATTATTACACATTTTTGTATAATAATAATACCTTTGCGACTGGTTCCTATCATACCTTTAATTGAATGTGTGGCCAGATTGGGGCTTCTAGCTGTGGAGCGCACCCCAGAGGCTGGGAGCCACCTGAGCTGACAGGGCTCCCTGCTGTGGGAACTTGCTACTTGTGGGTGCAAGGGGAACCTAGGATCATGATCCCAGGCTCCCCTGCACTGGCAATAAAGTGTGATGGGATCTGATGCTGGATCCCACAGTTACATCTGGCAGATCCCTTCATTTTCATGTCTCTCAGGAGCCTAACTGCATTTTCCAGAATAGAGTGGAAAGAAATGCATTTCCCATTCTGATGTTTTCACACATTCCCTCCCTTTTCTGTGTCTCTGCCCCAGCTGCTGAACAAGGGCACAGAGCACTACTCCTACCCCTGCACGCCCACTACCATGCTGCCGCGCAGCGCCTACTGGCACCACATCACCGGCTCGCAGAACATCGCAGAATCCTCCAATTATGCTGGTGAGTTTCTCCAGAGACCATCAGAGCAGCAGCCTTATGCTTTTCCCTGCCCCTTCTACCTCCTGGGCTTCAGTCACCTGATCTGCATTCATCTAAGCACTTACCTCATCTCCTAGAGCTTGCTTACTGCTCCATAGGCCCTGTACATTGCTTGCTTTTCCCTGCCTCAATCCTTCACCTGACAGGGAGCACTTGTGAGGAGTGTAGGGAGAGCTCTGCCTAATGCGAGGCCCTCTCAGTCACTCCAACCGCAGCTTCTTTTTGTGGGCTACTGGGCTGGGTGTCAGAGCCATCTGCTACTAGTCACCCTCTCCCAGTAGGTAGCTCAGTGGTGAATGGTGCAGGAGCACTCGTGAGAGAATCTCACATTATTTAGTCTCCTTCATCAGTGGGAGGCAGTCTGGGGCGTGGTTTTGGTTGCTATGTTTTATTACAAAATAAGATGGTATAAAAGTCTGGTTTCTCTGCAGGGGAAGCATACTCGGGGGCCCAGGCCAGCTCGGACACTGACCTCTTGAATAGGTTCATCTTGCTGAAGCCAAAGCCCTCCAAAAGCGACAAAAATGAGAGCAAAGAGTCTCAGTCTGCTTCTCAGTGAGTGACCCTTCTCTTGGAGAGACCATGTTTAGTGGCCTGGCATCATGGGGAACGGGGGTGCTGAAGTTTAGGAGACATGCATTTTTTCCAGCACCCCCTCCCTTCTTTCCTGAGGGTGTTGAAGATGTGGGAATCCTCCCCCCGTCCTTGGAGAAGTTAATGGAGCTCCTTGCCACAGGGAGAGAGAGAGTGAGAAAGCAAGACTTGCATGGAAGCAGGTGCATTCTCCTATGCCAGGAGATAGCCCCAGCTGTGCCATTCTACCGGACTGCGTGTGAAGGGGCAACACTACGGAAGAAGATGACTTGTTCTATGTTTAACTATTTTATAAATATATATTGCTTATACATATTCTATAATAAGAGACTTTCCTTCTCACGTGAATTCAACTTCCTTAGTCACTGAAGAGACTTTGGGAAGACACTAGAATTTTCTAAGTCTTTTGGGAGAGTCTGTCTTTTTTCAAGGTGGTGTCATGGGGCCTCCCACAGTCAAAACAGCATTTCTGCTACAAAGAAATGCCCCACGATTTCCTCAGCATGGCTCCATGTAGAACTGTTTTCTCAAGTGGCTGAGGGGTTCAGGGCAATTGTTCAGTGGCAAATGAGTGCTGCAGTGGTACTCCAAATACTGGCAAGAAAGCAGATGGTTCAGAAAGTCTCGTTCCCACTTGGCCTCTTGCTAAAGGGGCCAGAGGTACTCAAGCATCCCACATGCTTGTCTAAGTTGAAGAAAAGAGTTCCTTCCTGAACCCATTAGAGCTTTTCCTTGGAGAGAGGAACAAGTACTCACAAGCCTAAGCAACAAGCTAATTTTGCACTTCTTGAAGATGATAACACACACACCCACACAGGAGAATTGTGATGTCTCAGGAGAAACTGGTTTTCTTTCTGAACTGTGACTTCTGCACAAACTCTCCCCTGGCTTTTGGAGGGAAGATTTTCACCTGGCTATGGGAGGCTGGTTGAGCCCATGGCCTGGGAGGTGTTTCACTTGATTATCTACATGCCCTCTGTTCAGATCCTAGTAACAGCTGCAGCATGGCTTTCCCATTTACAAGCCAGTTATTTTTCCATGCAATGGGGTGTATGTGAGGGCTGACTGGTTTTAGCACTGGCTGAGAACAAAACTGATGCCCTCAGCAAGTGGGAAAGGCCATGGAGTCATCCTAGCTCCAGCATTGTTTTTTACTGCCTAAATCAAACTGCCCCATCTATCCGTTTGGCAGAGTCAACCTTTTAGGGATGGCTTACTGCTGGAGGTAGGTCTACTTGATCTCCCCAGGTTGGTCCAGTTCCACCTGGGGGCATCCTGCCTGTTGTCACACCAAACTTGAAATTCTACTGGCGGGAGACGACTGATTGATCAGAAATACTCACCTTTCCAAGGCCCCTCGTCACTGTCACTTCCTTGTAGATGCTGATGGAGGAAGCCCCATTTTCTTTCCAATTACACATCTAACTGTGTCTCAAAGCTAGTGTTCAGAGGGCTGCTTATTATCAGGAGGCCAATTTTTTTTTTCCAGCCTATACGCTCTCCTGCCTCATTTGATACCAGTGGGTAACTGAAATGAGAATCAGTGAAATACCTTGCACACAGAAGTTGGTTTTAATATGATAAACTCAAAAGCAATTGATTTTATAGTTCTACTATTTATTGAATACCTTTTAAGAAGGGCTATCTTTTTATTGCAGTACAAACTTTGGTGTTTCCTTTGCTGTTTGTCTTTTTTTAAAGAAAAGCTCAAGGGTACTGTTTCTTTGGGGTTGGGAGCTTCGCAACTGTAGGAACCTATGGTCGAATCACCTGTAAATACTGTGTCTTGGTTCTGTGTAGATGATATATAAGAGGGTGGGGACCTTCCAACCAAATCTGCTGGAAAAGTCCTAGGACCTGATAGGACCAGCAACTGTCTAAATTGCTGTTCCAAACACCACTAAGTGCAGTGCTCTTTCCCAGTGACATTTATCTGGAGCAACAGGAACCAGATGAGTTCAGTCCTAGCCCACATACTCTATGGTACAGTGAGTAAGGTGAGTTAATATTTGTACTTTTTCACAGGCCAGAGATGATGTAACCTACTGTCATTTCCTTGCCTAAACTTCAGTCTGGCTGTCACACGATTGCCCTGGATATTAGTTTCCACTTTAGGCACTAGGGTATAATCTGTGCTTCATTCAAACAACAGAAGATGCAATCCTCAGCTGCCATAAGCAGCATGACTCCCACGATGTCACACCAATATATGGCAGCTGGGGATGTAGCCCTGTGCCTTTAAAATACAATTGAAGGGAGACTTTTTGTCTCTGAAGTGTAAAAGTCTTGGGCCAGTCTCCTGGTAGGATAACCCAGATGTTTGTTGGCATGGAGACAGAAAGCTTAGAGCTGTAAAAATGAGACAGGTAAAAGCTTGAACTGGAGCAAGAGGAAGCTAGGCTGTCTCAGGATTACACAGTGCGCAGGTGAGTTAAGCCAGGAAAAGACAGGATTTAGCATTTATTGCCAAAAATGTTTTGTTTGGGTTTGTTTGTTTTTTTTAAAGGAATTACTCAATAAATGAACCTTACTGTTCCTGCCTGTCTGTCCACAATCCTTGGATGTTTGGGAGGGATGCTTTGCATTTGTCTAGCTTGTCCTGCCATTATTCTTGATCATCACAGGACATTTCCTAATGCTGTGAGGGCAATACAAACCCACAGCTTTGTGTGAAGAGCCACTGCACCAGCAATTCTAATGAAATTAAATGAAACCATAAGAGTAAGGGGAGAAGACAGACCTAGTTTGGCTTTTCCTTCCTTTTAATGAGCTGCACTTATGCCTCAAAGGGGAAAGAAAAGGCCATAACTTTCTTCTTCTCACTTGCATCCCACACCTACCTCCCCACTCACCCAAACCTCAGTCCATTGTCCCACCAGGAAGTTAGTGGCTTGCTCCCTGCAAGTATAGTGACAGAAGGCTTAGCACCACTTGGAAACAGACAGCAGGGGGCTGTTTCAAGGTATTGAGCAGATGTAGTCAATGTGTGGCACTTCGCTGCTTTACCTAATGTACTCTGTGGATATGCCTTTGTCTAGGGCAGTGATTCTTGGCCAGGGTCTTGATACAGTCTGACCTGCTGGGATCTTCTTGAATACTTTGCAACAGAAGAACGGTTCTGTTATTTTCCTGTTGTCAGATAGTGAAAACCAAGAGCTGGCATTTTCCAAGGGAGTCCCTTAAGTATAGGGACCCTCTCTGGACTAAGGCCAGCAAAGTCATCCTTGTCCCACAATTAAGCCCTCTGCACTGTGGAATACAAGCTAAGAGGAACATTTTAAAGGACTTGAGAATTACTGAGACGCATCAAATCCTATGAGAGATTCTGAAAGCTCCTAGTGTCATATATGTAATAAAAAATCATGCTTACAGTAAAGCTAGATAATAAATGAATTAAGATCTTCATTTAATTTTGGTCCTAACTGCTGCTTTTGGATAATCTCAAAACAAGCTTAGTTTTATCTCGGGGACGGGCAATTAGTTCGGGTGGAGGGCTGCTTACAGAGTTTTGACAAGTCATCGAAGGTCGCACGACAGGCAGCCAGGGGCAGATAAATATTAATTTTGTAAGTTTTTTAGGGACCCCACAGGCCGGATAGAATGGCCCGGCGGGCCGCATTTTGCCCACCCCTGTTTTATCTGCTTTCTTGCATGATTGCCATTTCTTCTAGGAGCAGCATGAACTACTGCTTGTCAAAAATCCATTTATATTTAATTGAACAATAGACCAGGCTGGACTCCAAGCAGGGAAAGGGACACATTTCTAGTATGGCTGAGGCAGCAGAGATTTGCAATAGTATAGGCTGGGAACCAAACTACAAAAGCTGTGCTAAAAGCTCCAATGGTTGGTCCCTTGGTGTTTCTTTCTACACCCTTGTCAGGGAGCTTTGGTCTCACCTTCCACAGGGACAGAAGCTAGGATGAAGTGGGCCTTCATAACAAGCCACCAAGGAAACTCCCAGAAGCCTTGGTGATTTGTTGAGTGCCCAGCAGCCCCAAAAACCCAAGGGCAGCGCAGATGCCCTTCTTGATTCAACAGTATGAATTATGAAGACAGGCAGTGTTGGTAGTGGAGACCCAGTTCTGCACGTGGGTTACCAGGAATCAGCCAGTCTCTTGTTACCTAGGTAATAGGTACATGTTCTTGTAGGCCCAACAGAGCATATGAGAACTGCAGCATTGGAAATGCCCCCTTCATAAAAGTAGCTCACTCACTGAAAGCACTTCAGAGAAAGAAAATGTTGTTAGAAGCTTGTCTTAAAGTATTGCTGGGTGATGGTGGTGGGGGGAGCAGGGAGCTTCCAGAAACATTCAGCCAGTGAACTAGCAGCAGTTTGAGACATGCTTAAGATCCAGCCCAAATCCCAGGCTGCCTAGAACAGCAGGGGCTGCATATGTATTTGAAGCTGACTGAACCAGTGGTTTATTGATGACAGACTGCCATCCACCACACTCCCTGATGTAAAGCTTGTGCGTACAGTCTGCTCCAGAGGAGTCTTTAAATAAAGCTAAGCCTCCTCAGCGTATGGTCTCCCTTGGAGCACTGCCTTCTGCAGCAGCTCAGCTCTGTTCAAACATATGCAGCTTACTTATACAGTGCGCTGCATTTTTGTTTAAATGACAAGGCTACTGGAGGAGGGTTTGGTCTCCTTAGGAGATAATGTCAAGAGCAGCAATCAGCAGCAGAGAGCAGCACTCCCTCCAAAGCAGACCATATTAAGTTAATGTCTGCTAGAGAGAAGTAAATGACGTGACATTTCCTGCAGTCTCAGACAAGCTTTCAGGGATGGCTAAACATAAGAAAAAGGCTTTATTCAGTACAGTCACAAATACAAACAAGAGAGGGCTATGTCTCTGACAGTCACAGAACAGAGTACATGCTTCCAAAGCCTGACATATGATCAGTGTCCAGCAAAGAACTAGGGTCATTCATGCACAAGCCCCCTTCTCCTCTCTGGGACAGAGAAAAAAACAATGGGTACAGCTCTCGTCAGGGAGATCTGCATGCATAGCTACTGTGCCCTGCTGGAAAGCCTCACTCCTAGCCAGAGCGACCTCCAGGTTCTAAAAATTACAGCAGATTCATCTGGGAGGCAGACAGAAGTGTCCATAAACATTGCACCGTGACAGCTCAGTGCTGGAAAGGGCTGAAGGGATTAAGATGAAAGGCTCAGCCAAGAAGCAACAGGGCTTCTAGCAGCCCCACTCCAAGGAAGGCTACAGGCAGTCCAGATCAGAGACAGCAGCATGAATACGGTAACTTTGCACAATGGGAGAATCTCCTGGAAAGGGGCTGGGTTCAGTTTATGGTCAAGACGTCGCTCTGGATCTCATGACTCAGCTGAGTTTGGAGATCACTCAATTTCTTCTTCAGTCCGGAGAGTGCAGAGAGAACAATGGTCTCTGGCCGCAGGGACCCACAGGACTCAACGTTGTAATAAAACCTGAGATCAGCAAGGGGATTAACAGTTATCTGACATCACATGGGAAAGCAAACTAGACTTTTCCCTGCAACGCATTTCCATCCTATTGTATGTCACTGTAGAAAGATCTATCTCCTTGTCTGCTCCTCTGAGCACTAACCCTGCCTACCCACCATCTGGTTATCAGTCCTATGCAAGAGAGTCATATCTGTGTTGGTGGTTACAATGTGGCTTGCAATTTCACAGGCTACTGCATATCACTTTAGAGATCTTTGTCCAGCAGTTTCTTTAGCTGATCACAGCTACCAGGCAACCCATCACAGTAAGACAGTGACTCTGGCCGCTGCTATTTATTATTTGTACTGCAGTAATTTCAGTGCTGGAAATGGAGATACCATTAAAGCAAATGGTTCACTGGACTGGAAAGCCCACATGATTTTGAACTCCCTTAAATCAACTTTACTAAGGAAGAACTTCTTTACTGTCCGAGCCCCCAAGGTCTGGAACAGCCTGCCACCGGAGGTGGTTCAAGCACCTTCATTGAACACCTTCAAGATGAAACTGGATGCTTATCTTGCTGGGATCCTATGACCCCAGCTGACTTCCTGCCCTTTGGGCGGGGGGCTGGACTTGATGATCTTCCGAGGTCCCTTCCAGCCCTGATATCTATGAAACCCTTTCTCCTGCATCATGACATGATTCACTATTCTCAGTAGAGTCTCCCCCTCCTGGCCTCAAGGATCCTCACTGTCAGTGTGACAGACCCCCTTTGGAGACTCCTTTTATTGCTCTTAAGAATGTATTTGTGCAACTAATACATGACCTACACTACTTCTCTGCACTTGCTTGACCCCGTTGCTTCTCATCCTGTCCTGACATACAAGTAAAAAAAAAATGATCCTCTGGCTTGTGTTACATTAGACATTTGTTAATCGCTTCTTCCAACCTCTGTGCCATTTCCACCACCTGTAGCAAACCCATGATGACACTGTAATCTCCATGTTCACCCCAAAACACCACTTCCCGAAACCCCTCCACCAAAGAACTCTAGTTCCATACACAGTCTGGAAGACTCACTCTTATCTGAGTTGAGAACATCACTGAGGCCTACACTGCCACAGCTGTGGTTCTCACTCCCCAGTAACAAGGAGATTGGTCTCCTGGAGAGGCAGGACTGCCAGTGCTGGTCCCAACCCCCACCCCTCCAGTAGGCTGTAACTAAATCCCTCAGGAGCCTGCCAAATTGTTCTGAGAAGTCAATGGGCCAACATCACTTCAGACAGAATGCCCAGGCACTTTCAGGTAAGGTTTGGAAATTGTCTGCGTCTTGCAGTGCTATGGCTTGGCTGGCATCCCGTATCTTACCTCTCTGGCTTTCCATTAGGATCGTAGGGCGCCTGGGCCTCATCTTCATCAATTTCAGAGTATTCACTCTTTGGCCTGAAATCAAACAGAACAGGTAAGTTAAAGACAGGAGGCCTCCTCCTCACCTGACCATTCTCAGCCTGAGCAGCAGTGTCTGGTTGTGTGAGCTAGGACCTAAGGCACAGACATCAGACAGCTGAATGAATGGGGGAAGAATGAAGTTAGTGAATTTAGCTGTCTTAGAGGCAGAGAACTCCATCTAAGGGAAATCCAGAACAAGGATGAAAGCAGGACACAATGCCTCCAACAGATACAAGCCAACATGAGGGTATGTCACTTCTACCCTGGATCATGGTCAAAGATACATGCCAGAGCTTCTCCACCTGAGGGACAGGTTGTGCCTAGAACAGGGAGTGCCAGCATACCTGGTGCAGGAGACGATGAAAAACATAGGAAACATTATTGAAAGAATCTAGCTTCCTCCACCTCCTCCCAGCCCCCACCACCTGCCATGCTTGCAGATCAAGTGACAATTGGCTCATTAGAAGGCACCCTGCTGTTCTTTCTAATACAGCTTCCTATGGAGGCACCTCAAATATGCAGCGCTTCAGGAAGCAGTGTGGTATCTCAAGGTCCTGATTCCTGCAACTGCACTCAGCTCAGCCTTGGGTGGCAACAGATACTCCACACCCTGAGCAACAGATTTCCCTGGGCACACAGTGTGAGGGAGTCAGAAAGAGGATGAGGAATGGGGAAAAACCATAGCCAAGAAAGTGCTGAAGATGCCAAGAAGGTGGTAAAGGTAGAAGGGATATAAAATGCACAGACAAACAAAATGACAACAGAGACTAGATGAAAAGCTTTGCATGTGAGAGGTTGGCACATTGCTTGCAAACCCTTATTTTGAGTAACCTGGGGGATTAGAACATATCTATTGGAAATGATGTGAAAGGAAATTAGTTTATAACAGACATAAGTGTATTAGCCTGTAAGTATTTAGATAGGGAGATACAAAGACATCAAACAAGTCTAGGCATTGTTCCATGCCAAATATCTCAAACTAAAGATAGCATTAACTGCACCAGCCCCTCTGTTTGAAGGAACAATGCAGGCACTGCAGGACCCCTACCTTTTCTTTCTCCTGATTTATGATTTTGAACCATCAGCCATGGTATTACATTAATGTGGGGTTCTTGTGCACTTAATGTAGAGCATTTCCTCTGACAATCACACATGGCACTCAAATATCAATCAATCCTAATGCTACACTTAAATCAGAACATACCATTCCTCTGGTTTGGGGTACACTGTGTGCCTCAATGCATTGTCTGGGTCATACTCAAAGGCCACTCCTGCTGTGGGATTCCATTTGGCATGCTCCTTGCCGAAGCCCTTCTTGGCATAGGCTCGCAATCTCAGCTCCTGGCCTTTCCGTAACTTGACAATAAGGATATCTGAGAAAGACATACACAAAGTCAATGCTTTTGGGAGACCAGCTGCAAAGGAGAAATAAGGACACAGTAGCATGCTGGCATTTCAGTCAGGAATGACTGGAGAGTTGTTAGCACACTAGGGATCTTATTGGAAGCCAGAAATTGTTTAGTCTTAGAAGGGCTTACACATGCCTCCAAATAGTCTTGCAACACTCACCAAAATGAGCAGGATGTTGTATGCATGGACACAGACATGGTTCACCCCCTTGGCCTCAAGAGAAACTTTGGCATCTTTGCTGTATCACCCACTCATAAGTGAAACCTCTGGCCCAGAATGAACCCTCCTGACACCCTTTAAGTCCAAATTACCAGTAAATTCAGGGTTCTTATCTGCTGACTGAAGCAAAAATTTTAACCATCAACACGTGTTTCTTGATCAACCACAGAAGTCAGACCCACACCTGCAACTGCTACCAGGTCAAAGAACTAGTGGCCTGGTTCAAACAGCTCAAAAGAAAAATCAATTTCTTTCTGCAGCTCTTCTCTGAAAAATCACTTACCATCCTGCTCTACATAGTCATTCGGATCATTGTCTCTGCTTCGGGATGTCACCTGTACAGATCAAAAAAAGAGGAGGTTGGGTGGGGGCCAGTCATTACAAATAGAATAAGTCTCTAATGAGTTATTCACTGCAAGGACTACAAATTCAGTGAGCCCCCTGAACTCTGGTGAATAATTAGGGTAATTTCAGCAAGGCTGGTGATTTAAGTAAGGAATGGCCAGCCAGATTAGTATTTCTTCCCGTGGGCTATCCTGTATAGGATGAACAAGGGTACAATCTGTTGGCTAAATGTAGCCTGTAGAGTTTTGTAGTGTAGCACAGAGCTCCTCTAACACAGATTGAGCCTGCAGGCTACGGGGACTGTAGCCTTGGCATAATCAATGCTGCATTGCTGCTCAGAGAAAAAGCAGTGTCCACAGGCCAGAACTATGTTTTAAACAGGAACACAGCTGCGGTCTGGCTCTATTTTGTGTCCACTGGGGCTACACGTAAGTTACTGATGCAGCCTGTTATGGAGTTTCCTTAACTTGTAATATTATGAGGACTCACTCCACTATCTCTCTTCAAATCCACTCCATTTGGATTCTCTCAGGCCTAGCAAGAACCACACGGCACTGACATGACAGCTGAGCTACTGCTTTATCTAGCATTGCTGAGAATGCAGTGATCATGAGCAGCTGAATTCCCCTCTGAAGGTGAGATGCTTAAGACAGCCCCAATGGAAACTGTGTAGATGATGTAAAGTTGAGGCAATCGAGGAAGAAAATGGTAGTGGCTGATCTAATGGTGTGTGCTCCTGATATGGAGGGGAAGATGACTCTAACGTATTGCAAGGATGCATAGCATATAAATGAGACATTGTCAGTAGGAGTCTGGCTGTTTCTGTTTGTAGAAAGGATAGAGAGACTTGACAGACTAGCAATGAGAGCATTGTACTAACTGGTATAACCCTGGGGTTGTTCGAGATGAGATCACGGGATGTCACATGACGAGTCTGGTCTTCATTACACCGGACATCAAGGGTAAACTCCACAGAACACTCTGGACAAAACTCATCACATGTGCAATCCTAGGGAGACCCAGAAAGGAGTCATGATCAGCAGGGATCCGGGTTTTCCATTTCCCACAGAAAAATGGAAAAATCCCAAGGATTTTCTCTTTTACTGAGAAAAATGCGGATTTTTCATTTTAAACAGAGAAACATGAGGATTTTGCTCTTTTGCAAAAAGCTCTCTACAGGCTGGTAGAGTTCCAGCCTGCAAGGGGCTATGGGGAGCAGGAGGGTGGTCAGGCAGCAGGCGCCGTGTACATGCACATGGCCGCCAGGCAGTCTGGAGAGCAGCTCCCCTGCATAAGTGGTGGGCTGGGAATTGAGGACCCCATAGGGAGAGTTGGGCAGGGCTGGGGCTGCTCCTGCCCAGCTGGGTGATGCTTGAGGCTTGGGTCTGCAATGCGCAGCTCCAGGGCCCCAGCGAGAAGTGGGACAGGGCTGCAGGTAGCTCATTTGTGGAGCAGGATTGGCTCCCCGCCATTGTGCATGCTCCCGGGGGAATGGGGTGGGGGGGTCATGTGCCCCCCAGATCTGTGCGCAGGGCAGGGTGCCCGCTGCAGGCTTGGGCTTTCCGCCCTGCTGACCTCTCCTGGGCCCTCTACAGCCTGGTGGGCAGGACCCGGCATGGCATGGCAGAGCAGGGATTGAGTGGGGAAGCTTGCTGTCGCTGCTGCAAGCCCTGTGCTGCCCTAGCAACGTGCCCCCTGCCCTCCCTGGAGCAGCAGCATGAGGTTGTGCCCCTTGCTGCTCCAGGGTGGGCAGGGGGCACGTCACCAGCGCAGCACGGGCCTCACAGCAGGAGCAACA